CTTTGTTTGACCTATTATTTTGTTGTTTATGCTGTGTTCTCCTTGCAACCACGACAAAATAGATTAATAGGCTTGATTTCTATATGACTAGGCCTCTTGGATGTTAGTAATAATATACCATATATTCCTTATACATCTATTATACTATAGCTAGCTAGACGAAATTTTACGCCATTATAATCTGTAATTTAAAGCACTTACCTCCAGAAATGGCGGACTGTTTTGGTTAGTTAAACAATTCAATTTTGCTTGAATTTTATCGAATTTTATTTACTTGAATATTTTATTACAATATCGGTAAAAAAGGCTTAAATTTTCCAATTGCGCTGTTTAATCATTTCTTTCTTTGAAGTAAACATTAATTCTTTAATTCAGCGTAAACACACCTTATATCAAAGATTACAAACACCATTGATCACTTGAATTGATTTCATTCATACATTGAAGGTTTGCAACACTGCATTTTACTTTTAGACTCGTTTTGGGCCAATCATTACATGTTAAAACTATTCATACACACAGCTATGTATACATGCAAGCACTAAATAAAGCTCAAACGTATGTGCTCTAGGTCTCCTTCTCTTACTTTCTTTCTTTCTTCAAGCATCTCATCTTTTCACACTTTCTTCAACCTTTACTCTTTCATTTGGTTCGAGATAAATATAAAAAGCTAGACCCTATTTGGCAGTCTGTATCGATATTTATTACATTCACGATACTATTCACATGATAAATAGGGTTGTGTGCACTTGAAAGCATCCTTCCCCTAAAATGCTAAAATTGCAGAATGTCTCCGATCCAGGCTGAATAATCTATCGACTTACATGTGGCGTATTCAATGTAGGATCTTATCTAGTATTTTGTTTCACCCAACTCTACCAAGTAGTTCCTTAATTGATAGAGAATTATGATATTTTTAACCCTGTATTTACTAACTTTTACACAAGAGCCTATGATGCAGATCATTAAAAAAAAATTATTTTATCCTATTCATACGCTGCTGCTTTCTGATTCAGGCTTCGAGAGCAGGATATAGAGCAACTTCGCAGCCAGAACTTTGCTCTGGATCAGAAAATTTTAGAAACTGCCACTCCTTCAAGTAAATCGGTTGCTTCCATTGGGCCTCAAGGGATTCCGGTTGTTGGCGGTAGAGGCGGTGGTAGTGGTGGCAGCGGTGTTGGAGACACAAGTGGATCCGTAATTGCTGGCGAAGTCAAGGGAGCATCGACCGTGGCTAAAGAAACAACAGCTTATGGACGTAAGACTTCTATAATGCTCACCGAGCCAGGTGGAGGGCTGGGAGGTCGAACCCCCAGTGATGGTGATCTCTCCAAAAAACGTAAGCCAGCTAATCCTGTTGGATCGAGTGGGACAACAGCAGAACCAACGAAGGAAATTTCGGATGAGATGGAGACATCTGTCCAAGAAAGCCTGGTGGGCATCGGTACCACTTCGACATTCGGGCTAAGAGGAGAGCAAGCAGTGAGCGTAGAGCTTTCGGAAGACAGCGCCTATCTTCAGGTGAGTTTCAAGGTCATACGGTAGCAGTATCAACAGAAAACTGATAGTATCAAATAATTTACGCGGAAATGTACATACAAATAGTAAAAGACAACTATCAGTTCTTCGTCACCTTAAGCGAAATATGATAAACACTATTTATATATCTGATTTACTGGTAGCCTCGAAAGCCTACCCTAAAAACGAAAAGCTTAAAGTTATTTTCGTTTATAAGCAGGGTTTTAAGACTATCAGTATACCTTGATTAAGAACACTGCTAATCCTATTTTATTTAAGGTGAGTAAGGACTGGTACTGGAATTTTCTCATAATTTTATTAATAGACCTCACACATAGCCTTGATTCCAAAAAGCATTCTCACTCAAATTGAATCGGACAGATGTTTCAACCTCCCCTGAACTGGTCTCAGCCCCCA